AGAGTGTATTTAATAGAATGAGAATTTGAATTAAACTGTTGAGTGAAATGAATGAGAAATTAGCAGAAGCAGAAGAGAACAATTTTGGCGATAAAAGGTATAAGAGCGATTATAACACGTCGGAAAAGAATGAAAATCCTGTTTGCTAATTTGCCGGACCCCTCCATCCCCCTTCACACCTCCAAATTATCCAAAATGGGTAAATGAAAGTGAAACATTTTACCTTATATCCCAGAATAACACCATTCGTCGCACGACCTTTTAGGGCATTCCACGATACTACAGCTCGTCGATGACTATCAACCGTTGCTTGAACATTTGATGGCGAACCCGATGGAACGTCTTCGTACGTCTTCGCGAACACACTTGCCGAGAAATTACTCCGACCCAACGAATTCTCAGCCACCAAACGAACTTCGTAATCGGTAAACGGTCGCAGTTCAGATAGGATGAAATCGCTTTCTTTTATGTTCGATGTTCGCATTTCATGCTATAAACAACCTCCATTTTAATTCACATTCTTCATTTATGCTGACATTTCCACATGTTGAATAAATGATAAAAGGTCCATAGAAATATCATTAAAACCATTATGAAGATCAATGTTCTATTGATACCATTCAATTACCACTGATACAATTTATTCTTCATGGAAAATATCACTGAGCTGATTCTAATACACTCGAATCTAATTTCATAAATCTCGTTTGCTGGTAAACAACAGAATCAAAACAACGAACCCATTTTTGTTGATCACTGTTCCGAAACACAATTAAATATCCTCTTGGTTCACCATTCCATTGGGTTGGATGAAGAGGTGACCATGAGACAGCGACTGACGTCGACGAATGCGGTTCAGCAAATACCTTCTCGGGTGCAATTTCAGGTTCCGATTGTTTAGTGTCAAATTCTCGAGATGGCTCCGATGGTGCGCCACGACCACGTATGTTTTCGGCGATCAGCCGTAACTGATACTTTGTGTATGGTCTCAGGCCTTTCACGGTGAACGATCGTGCTTTGGGCGCACTGAAATTAGGAACGAATTGAGGTATTGCAGACGAATATGATGAGAAGGAAGCAGTTGCAGTTGCAATCACAACATGACAGTGCTGACCTAATGTTGAAAATGGCGACAAATATCGATGAAGAAGCCACTTTTGCTTCAACAATCCATTTACGAATCAACGTGTGACCGTCGAATCCAGGCACGAACTGCAGGTTGACACTTCTCGCACGTACATCTGTTACAATCAGCGATGAAGCGCGACCGGGTAATTCTGGAATAGTTTTGGCAAATATTAAGTGACTTCCCCTACAAAATTTTTTACAACACTGCCAACTGTTGATGTAATTCAAGCAGTCAAGCGAATTCAGGATGGAAATTGCAATGATGAAGTCGGAGGATTTGTTAGTTGCAAAAAACGAGCAGTTTTAAGAATTGCCTGGTGGTACTCCTGATTCGAAACGTCCCTCTGTCCTCGGTCCTGCCCCAACTTTTGTCCAAGCCTGTACGTCGACAGTATAACGGGTTGATGCGTTCAGATCATCCAGCGTCACCTCATGTGTGTCCGGCCTCACTTCTTTGGCCCTCTTCTTTGACGAGTTTGAATCCTCCCAATATCGCACCGTATACTCTGTAATGCTATTATTAGGTACAGTGACCAAGCACTAACACATAACGAAAAATCTGAAATTGGTTGCGCAATTTCTAAAAACACAATAGCTCAGAAGCAATTAGTCGTTGGGTGACGTTGAAAGAAACAAATGAAATCTCAAATAAGGTAATGAACATTGACAAATAGTAAACCACAATCACCAAATGAAATAAGAAACATTACGATCAGTAGTGATTGAATGTGACAGAATGGAATACAATGTGCCATCAGATAAGCGAAACCTACTTGTTATAATTCCGTTTGATTCAGTTGGAGGATTCCATAAGACGACAGCGGAATTTGAAAGAACCATGTCGAAATTAATCGATTCAACAGCACTCGGCACTGAAAGCGATCAAAAAATTAATATTATCAATAAACGTACCATAATGATAAATTATTGTTGGACAAATGATTATATACGGGCTAGTGCTACAAATGAATAAGTTATGCAATAAAATCGTTTGTCTTATGAATTGAATTAAGGAGAAATGAACTCAACAGTCTTCCATAGTGATCGCTTCAATCGGCTGACTGCGTGGCCCATCGCCAGGTGACGTGAAACAAAGAACGGTAATATTGTAGTGACCGAACTTCTCCAGACCACCAATCACGGTCGTGATATTCTGCTGATCGGGCAACACACGGATTTGTCGATACAATTTCGTTGGGCTTATTCCACCTTTCCATAGTTCAATCTGAATAATTGATTGCGATCGAAATGTGTAGATCAATTAGCAATCAGAATGGAAATATGATCATTTGCTTTCGCATGAAATCGGTTCCTTTAACTAATTTCAATTTTCTTAAAAATGAGAACATCGTCGATATTCACGTTAATTCATAGCATTCGTTGATGCTTGTTTTCATTTTAGTTGTTTCTATATACCAATGGTTAATATTCGGATCGAATAGCTGCAAATGTAAGTCATAATTGCACATGAAGAGTCTAACAAAAGGATTGTAATTGTTCATTGACTCAGATGGCCCCTGTGCCATTAATTCCTCATGCAAGGCCAAACGACGACCCATTGGTAGGCACGTTCTCTTCATCGTCAACACTAAACTGACCTGTCCGGCATCGAACCATTTCGCTTACACACGCTAATGCAAAACACGTCCACTGAGCTAAATGGCACTCACCTTATAACCTTGATTAACGCCTGGAATCATTTGCTGGTCTGGCGGTACAAATGAGACTGCCAATGCTGTCGAGTTGATTATTTTTATTCGAATATCGGATGGAGCTTGGGTGGGTACTGAAAACTCGAAATGAAGCTGAGTGTTTTGGAGCATATGTGAAATTAAACACCTTCATTAATGCCACTGATCAGAGAGAATCGCCATTTGAGAGATTTATTGACAGCATAAATCAAAAACTCTATCAGATGTTATCAATTTTTATGAGATACCTAGAAGAAATGTACGAATTCAAAGAACAGGATGATGAAAATGCAGCAAATAGTTAGATCAAGAGATCAGTGATATGGATTGCAGTTTATTCAAGGGCACATTTGTTTGACTGAGTGCGACTATATAAATTTTTTCTTTTGTGACTTCATGGTTTCAATTAGGTATTCGCAATCCACAAGCACAATTTCAATTTATAAAGAACTGATGAAATGAAATTATAATTGAACGAAGCGAACCTCCTTCGAGTGTGGTCACATAAAGTGGTTTACTGAAGACACCCATACCACGATCATTATAAGCACACACTTGTATCTCATATTCACGCCATGTTATCAAATGTTCTAGCGGGATATTCCTCGCATGACCATTACTGACGTTCTTCTCCAGCCACGGTAAGCCGGCATAATTCGCTAGACGATAGCGAATTATATAACCCAAAATATCACCGTTCCATTGCTCGGATGGTGGTGGTTGCCACTGAACCATTATTGACGACCAACTTCTTGCACTAAATCTCAGATTTGTGATCATTGAAATGAACGTCCTCAACAACAATATATTCTCTTTACCAACTGGTATAATAAGCGCTTAAATGATGGGCACACCAAAGTAGTAATTGGAATTCTTTATCTTGTTGTATGCATAATAATCATGGAGAGTCAATTTTTCAAATTAGAAGGCACGAAATGAAGTGAAATATTTCAAATGTTCTATTTTTTGATGAAAATTGTGAAGAGGATAAGCCTAACTGTTTCTGTGTATACTGAGTGATTATTGGCAACATTTGGTAGTTCAAGGAAATGATGTATGTGAATGGTTCAGTATTTAACGATTCAATAGCTCAATGGTTCAGCACATTGTATTGTCCGAAAGAGACTGATAAAGTGAAATAAAGGAATGGATGAAACCTTGCGGCAACGTTGCGAGGTGCAGCCGCAGGTGGTTGTTGTGGAAGAGTGACGTTGTTGGATGGCAATGACGGCTTGCCGGCACCATGCCGATTCACAGCAACTATTCGAAACTCGACGGTTGACGATGGCTTTAGATTATCTGCAAAGAGGACGCACTATCTTTTGAACGATCATTTTGGACTCATTATTCAGATCTGAGGATCGATCAAAACACACAGATCAATTTCAATTGCTTAAATCACAATTGTGCTCCAAATTATATCGAAAGCAACTAGAATCATATGGCCAACTCACCAACAACTGTACTGCAACACAGTTCCGATGGTACATTATCAATAATTGTTTCCCAATCGGACCACAAACCCGTCGGACCAATACTTCTCATTTGTACAATATGTTTAATCAACGGCGAATTACCGTCGAAACCTTCACGCCACCAAACCCGAACCTTTGCCGGTATTGTCTCGTTCAATAATTCAGCGAAAACACTTTGTGGCATCGATGGTTTTTCTGCAAGACCGATTCGTTTCTACTGAATAATGGAACTGAAACTAAATGTTCGTTCAGTGTGCATAAGCCTAAGAAATATCTACTTTATGTGACTAATACAGAACTCAGACGAACTGAAGAACAATGTTTTCATGTAATCTTTTCATATGTACTCAAAACTTGCATGTTTTATTATGTAAAGACGTTTCCTCTTGTTAGCTCCGTTCATCACCTCTACATTGGCCGTTAAATTTGATCGCACCTCATCTTTTTGCTATGGCAATTTTGAGCGGATAGATGTGATCGTTATTAATAAAAATATTATTACTGTAACTGTGCTGCATGTATTATGCGGTGTTGATGTTGAACATTATAATAAGTGCGATTGCTCAATGAAGAAATTATTTTGACCAGTTTCTCAAGCCTTCATTTCAAAAGATAGTTTTTTTGTCGGTGACTACAATATCATTGTTCATCATCGCTTAACTGCATATCACGAGCATAAAATGAAGGTTCCAAATGAAGTCTGCATTCCTATTTGCAACATACTGACCAATAATCCTGAGCCATGCAGATATACTTTGCTCTTGATTTGCCACTCTAATCGTGCACGTATAAAGGCCAATGTTGTCCGGACCAACTTGCTTAATCGCTAAACTACCGTCAGCGTTGATAATGAAACGACGAACCGCATCACCTGTTATTGGTATTGAATGACCCTGGAATGATTAAAATTGCACTTGATANCAACGATTCTTCTCCCCCCAAAATATTCATTCAATAAAGATTCTTTTTGAATTTATCACATGTATAATATATATTTAATGCAGTTACACATATATCAATATGGTTTGGTGGTATTCCATCGCAATCCGTCAAACTAATCCAACTATTTGCTTTTAATCCCTCCTGAGCGCTTCGATTTATCATTCGGACAACTCACTCGTATAACACATATCACATATCACATGTACATCTAATCACATTCGCGATCTCATTATCATACAAGATGCCTTCAGGCGGCAGCAAAACACTAAAGTCCGAAAGAGTCAAATTATGCAAATGGAATTCATTCATTTAAAGTTTCGATTTTCAAACTCCGTTTGCTTTCGAGCAAATATTCAACCGTATTGTCAATGTGTTATTTGCATTCTTCACTCATCAATCCTCCTCGATTAACAATATCGCAATACATCACACCACGACCACTGACGATGAATTTGCATTGTCTTTTGATCGTTCTATTTGCACAAATATGCACGCACCATTCTTATGTGCCTCTTTTGTTCAGTAACGTAACAGAATTTGTGAAGAACAACAACGCATAGAAACGAATGATGCACTTGAATTAAGACAACAATATTCACATCAACAATAANAACAATAACAACAATGAGAATTACTCAATACCACGAAGTGCTAGACTGTGAGCAATTCTCTTTTCAAGTATTTCACATTAATAAATTTGATTTATCCCTAGCTAATTTTGTCTTCAAGTCTATAATCTGATACGAACATCAAACCCGCAATAGCTTCGATCGAAATCGGTGCAGCTCAGGTCAAACTTTCGCAACTGGTATGTGATCGCTTAATCTGATTTCATAAGAAATTAAATGACTTTGTTTATTGGACTACTTGCACACAGTTTGACTCCTTCTAGGAATCGAACTGAGACATTACAAAAAGGGCCAGGAAAATCGCGTTTTTTGGTTAGGGAACCAATCGCTAGAGTCTACTTGCGATGACAAATGTAATTGGTTGTATTCGTGCTGTCAGTAACATATCACATAAAAACGTTAAACTTACAATCCCCGAAGGTAATTCCACGAAGAGATGAGTATGATATGCATAAGTTCACTTTATTTTAGTACACTTCGTTGATTACTGAATCGACGAAAAATTTTGTGCAAAATGCAATAATTTAACTCACTATCAGTATTGATCACACCTAATAATCCTCAAGTATTATATTTTGCATCAATATTTTGCAATCTGAAGCGGTTGATTTATGCTGACTTTTATGAATGCTTCACTGCATCCGAAACACTTTGCCCGATGCGTATAGCTTAAGAAAGCTTCATTTTTATTTCACTTAAGTAACTCTTTTTGTTGGTAATGTTATGGTGTTTTGAGTGGATTACACCACCTTCTGAGTCTATACCGAATTATTGAAAAAAAGCACAGTGAATTGCAGATTCGTCAAAAGACTTAAGTTATATTAATTTTTGAATACTAATTCGTCATCAAGAAAGAACAAGAATTCTTTTTGCATTCTAAAAATATTCACATAAAAATTTATTGACAATTTTGCAAAAGTTACGTTAATAGTTTTCTAATTTCAATAAGAACCTATACACATCGATGATTTGCTGAGAATTTTATTTGATATTTTTAAATAAATGAAGTGACTGTGATGAGCACATCAAGTTTTATGTGTCAATATATATTTATAACACTTTATCGCAGTTCCCTCACTTCCAGTTAGTGTCTTTATCTACGCATATCCATCTGCGTGTACAAACTGCTTCTGCATTGCAAGCAAAACTACGGTTATTTAATGGACAATTGAATAGACAAAGTGAGTGAGTTGAAAGCATTCAACGAATATTATAAGTGATGTGATTTATTTGATTTACTCCACAAAGCGAATAATTCATTGTGCTTTTGTTTGTTTGTGTGTTTATATGAGTAAACAAAAAACTAAGCAGGAAAATTTCAATTTACGAGAAGTGATAGTTGAATACAACGATAAAATCTATAGCTATTGACCATTTGACCAGCTTAATTCCCTTTGTCGATATAACTGGAACAATTCAGTCTGATATAAATTCGTTGAGACGATCTCGTGAATTTTTGAAATTAGCCATTCGAACCATTCATTTGGATTTGCATAACCATTTGCATATTTATTCTTTCGTAACTGAAGTGACTGCTTGAGCACTTTTTTTGACAACTGTAGAACAATTCGTTTTTCGTCGATCACTATACTTATTAGAGCAGGACTAAACTCCACATGCATTTTTAACCAGTGCAAGATGAATTTATCCAGAATCATGCTTGTTTTCGAATTGTTTTGAATGGTAGTTAACAGATAATTGACATGTTTCGCAACGGATATTTTCGAACCCCCGATTTACTCTTAACGAATAACGGCAAGATGATATGCGAAACTGTGCAGAAGAAGGATTGAGAGTGAAGAGCTTGTGTATGATAAGGTGTGCGCTGTGTGCACTAGCAAGTAATATCGTGTTTTATCTCTGAGTTGACGTTTGTAAACGATGTTTGTATAAGATGACTGATGGATGGATAGGTTGTTGGGTAGATAAATACATATAGACGAGTGTACATGTGAATATGCATCACTATCATTATTGTTATTATTATGATTACTATATTTGACCTATGGTTACAAACGGTCAAATACAAACAATCGAACGAACAAACATAATCAGCATCTTCGCTTAGATGCGCTTATTTTAGCGCTTATCTTATGACTTTTCTCGCATAAATCCCCCAGACTAATCGTCTCTTATCGCCGCCGTTTCACCTTTCGGATCATGCCTCCAATCAACGCCTTTCAACGATTAACCAATCAATAAAATGTATATCATTATTCATTAAAACATGATCATTAAGCATTATTCAGAATGAGATGTGCCTCCTTCCTATGATAAGCATCTTCTTATTTCCTCTCATACTTAAATCAAGAGTGTTAATCGACTACTCGCTCGTCTGCTTATCTCAGCTTTGACTGACGATTAATGCAGTTTATAATGTCATCACCATCCTGATTGTTAAGACATTTCATCAAATTTATCTTCAATATTCCGCATATATGACTGCAATCGTATCACCAAACGCCACAAATCTTCAGTTGCAAATATATTTTGCAATTTAATTTGCAACACTGAAATAATGAGATATTGAATTTGAATCCACAACAGAACAACCAGTATGATGAGATTTCTTAGTGCGTCATTAAACAATTCTCAACATAAATACAGTCAACTCAACTCACTTTCATCACATATAACACACTTCCCATTCAAAATTTGCAATTATGCAAATATCGCAATGCTACTTCCAAACAATTATGAACTGTTAGGACGCTAGAATGTACGCATACAACGATTATTAAGTGCTCTACGGGGCGCCAAACGAATGATGATGGCAGGCATTTCTTTTGAGAACGTCTTCATTAAGATGTTCAAAATTGGAATAACGTTAATCTCAAGGTCTAGTGGATCATTCAGCAAACACGATCAATAATTTCGAATCTTCATTTCATTCAGACAATCAGTGTTTCTCTCCGCTGATTTGAAAGGTGCTCCTGAATCGAAAGAGAAATGTGCTTCTACATAAAACGTCAGGAACAAACGCTTTTCCGTTTATTCCTGACGTTCTTAATGTTGATGAGATCGATTTTGATTGTTTGAAAAGCTATTGTCTGTGACACGCTCACTTCAAATTGATTCACATGGATTCTCATTCTTTTCAGACGTGTTCTATTCACTCTCATAGCTATTGCATGTGAATACCGTTCTCTTCATGAGTTTTTCTCATTCGTTTCGTCTCATTTCACTTCACAGTTCGAATCAATTTCTCATTCAGTAGCATATACTATTTACTGAATACGTTGACGAGTGTTGACAGCCGAAGTCAACAACACAACAATCGAATACTATTGTT